TGGCATTCACGTCGGGTCTCCAGCGTCCCTGTCTGCCGGGGAAAAGGACCTGAGCTACAGATGCTGGCATTTATTCCAATTTTTTTTACGAACGCACAGCCCCAGAGATCTGTTTTTCCTGTTGGCTTGTGTCTTACATTGCCTAGGTAACCTTATTTTTCAGTACATAGCATTTTTCAGAATAATGGTTTTCAAGGCAGGCTATTACAGTCCTGAAGTACAGTTATTAGTACTGATTGCTCCTTGTATGCAATGAATGGGGTGGAGTTTAACGGTTCTTAAATACTCTTGTGGGGGGTGCACACGGAACTGTTATGTATCACAAAATAACTTCAAGCCTTATCAGGCTCTAAGGTTTGGGATTTGCTTTTCTTCATTGCCTTCCTGTGGCAAGGGCTTCTTGGGAGGCCAGAAGTGATCAGTAATACTGTATATCTTAAGCAACCTAACTACTATTTACAGGTGAAAATACCTCTTCGTCTTAGTGTTTGTTTTCTAGACATATAAGGACTATGCAAGTATATGAGAGAAAAGTGAAATTTGACCACTGTTGTTATGTAAAATAATTGGTTTGCAAAAATTGCAGTGCTTTTTTTTTTTTTCCCCAAAGTTAAGCTGCATGTGTGGTTGTATGTCTTTTATCACTCCCTTTTACATTAGCTGTTCAATAACTTCCTGTAATATCAATATTGTCAGTGCTTTCTAAAAGGAAAGGTATTAGGGGACCAGCAGCACTTTTGTCCTTGGCCTAGCTTCTTGCTTGGTTTTTGAAACAGAAGGCCTTTTCTGAAACCCAAGTTCTGGATAATGTCATGGAAGTAAGTTCTAAATTTGTCAGTTGTGGTTTGAAATGCTAAGTTATCCAATTGTCTTTTGAAGCCAAGTACTAAAATGTGATCTGCAAACTGTACTTGCTTCTAGTGTGGAATGTCTCAAAGCAGGCCAGAAGGAGTTACAACTTCAGCTGTAATGCTGGTTAACATCGATTCTTTTGTAGGTTTGAAATTATACCAGCAAAATTACATTGTTGCCCTGGTTAGCAGGGTGACAAAGCACGTGCTTCTGTATTTCTAGGGGTCTATACCTGTGACAAAGGAAAATTCCAGTTTCTGCCTAACTCTTCAAAGAGATCATATCTTACCAAACACACATTGACCACAAACATCCCCTCGTTTGCCTGAGGTTTTCTTGTGCACTGAAGATCCTTCTCTCATGCAGCAGATCTACTGCAGCCCTTTGCAGTAAAGGTCATCTGAAGCAGGCAAACTGTCTGCTGCTTTTGCTTTGTGGCTTCAGTGGAAGCATGCATCTCAATTTCCCCTGTCTTTAAGCGCAGGCCCTGGGGCAAGTCTTCACAGTAAGAACTGTGGAAAAGTGATGCATGAAGGCTTGTGCTATTACTCCCAGATTCTCTTATGCAGTGGAACCACTTACTCCTTTCTCTCCATTCATATGATCTTGGACTTCCTTCAGAGGTGCTTGTTACATGGGAATCCAGAAGGTGAAATTTAGATTCTAAAAGCCAAGCTCTTTGGAGTGCCTGGACAAGAATTTAATTTCTAGGCAGAAGATCTATAATATTTGGCTGGGGACAAGTAAATATTTGTAGATTAATAGTATTCTGTTCAAATGTCTCAGAGTGGCAAATGCAGTGGTAAGTGAAATCTAGAAAAAGTCCAAGAACTTGCTACCTGTAAGAAACTGAAGCGTTATCAGGTGTTACATGAATGCCCAAGATTTAAATTTTATTCTAGGCTTTATGACTTCTATGGTAAGTGACTGAATGACAGTACTGTTTAGGTATTGGCTTTTCTTTATATCTGTTTATTTTTGGTTTGTGTAGCAGCACGTGGACATGCAGGACATTAACATTTTCCTTGAACTTCCTTCTGTATCTGTGGCAGGCCCTGGAATTCTTACAACAAGTTTTCCCACTGGACCAGAAAAAAAAAAAGGAAGGGTAGGGTTAAATTAAAACCACCTAAATTCCAGCATGCATTTACATGAAAACACTGGGATTTCTAGTATAGAAGATGGGTGGTTACTGAAAGCTCTCCACTAGCTCATTCAAGTGCATGGGAATAATCTTACAACCTTTCCAAATGCAAAGGGGATCAATATCTTAAGACTGCCAGTTCTTATTAAATAAAAGTGAAACTTTGTGTTGGAGTTTACTCATTCAATAACTTCAAAAAGTGGCTGATGTGTTCACTGCACATGCTAATACTGTTTTCATCGTATACTCGGAAGAAAATAATTCCTAGTCCTTTTTGGATCTTAATTTCTGCTTTCCCCTCCAGGGCAATGAAGGTGCTCCTTCCGTCCAGTTCTAAGAAGAGTAAGTTTTAACAACTGTTTTAAAA